TTCAATTTGTATTTCATTACAATGCCCGCCCACATTTTCTTGTCTCTGGAGTTTAGTAGGATGCTTTTGGTGCATGCTGCCATCTCGTGGGTACCTGTGTAACTGCATGAATATGAAGAAAGGCCACCAGCCCCAGATCCCTCAGGATACATGGGTCCCACATAAAGTGGAGTGTCCTTTAAGATAAGCAGTGGACAGCTAACAACTAGGTCAGTGGTTCAAACCCACCAGTTGCTCCTCGGAAACCCTATACAGAGTTGCTATGAGTCAAAACCGACTGGCTAGCACTTAACAACAACATGAAAACCTGGTGGCTTCATATGATAAACACTAGACTGTGGACCACAAGGTTGGCAGTTCAAGCCCACCAGCTGCCCTATGGAAAAAAGATGAGGCTTTCTGCTTCTGCAAAGATTTGAAACCTCAGAAACCCTGTATAGAGTTGCTATGACTTGGAACTAACTTGATGGCACTTAACAATAACAAATTTTATTAAAATCTGTATTACCTCAAAATAATATATATTAGATCGTTCAAAATACCTTCAAAGCAGAAACTAATTCAGTCTTGAAAGGAGTAAGAAAAGGATTCCATTTTACATAAAGATAGAAGTTTTGTGTTTCCTCTCAGAATTTGTTGTTAATTGCCATGGTGTCTGTTCCTACTCAGTGTTCATGTAAAGTTTCCAAGGAGTGGCTGGTGGGCTTGAGCCATTGACCTTTCGATTAGCAGTCCAGTGCTTATCTTACAGCACCACACCAGGACTCAGCATTTAGGAACCCACAAAATCAGAACTAAATGTTTTAAATGGCAGTCTGCTCTCCTTGTGTGTGCTTCTCTTAGCAGTCAAGTACAAGTTCTTTGTTTTTCTTAGCATCTGAAGATTTTCAACCCCACTTTGTTACCTCTCAGGAGTCCTCATGCAGTGCCATGGGGTTTATACGATGGGCTGCAAGATCACTTTAAACTGCAAGCTCCTCAGAAACCCTGTATAAGGTCACTGTGAGTCAGAATCGACTCAATGGCACTTAACAACAACATCGTTACCGCTCCCTAAAAATAGTAGAAACCAAGTTCTTCAAATATCTCTGTGACCGCATGAATGGAAAAGGTAATTCTCGCCCTAAATGAGTATGTTAGTTTGTACTTACTTTTTAAACTATATGATATGGTTATGGAACTGTAGGAAACTAAAGAGGGCTGAACTGTATCTTCATTTAAGGTGTTACAGTTAGAAGGGAGCCTGTTTCTCTTCAGTTCTCCACTTCACCTCTTTGGCCTGTTACAGAGGCGCTTGGGACTCTTTTTGAAACTTGATGCAAGATTCTAGGACCTAGGCTGCCACTGATCTTCTGCTCCTGGGTGGGCTAGAATTTTAGGAGAGTGGGCATGGACTTTTACTGTCATCTGATCGTAAGGTTTTCACAGCTGAGTTGTTCAGAGCCAGTACTGGCTTTTCATGATTGTATATATTGAGCTTCCTCCAAAGAGTCCCTCTGAAACAGAAAATTCTGTAGGGATGGGTCAGGGATGAGAGGGAGTTTGAAAATCAGTGATTTTGTTCAATTTCTTCATTGTACTGATAAGAAAGCCTAGGTTCAGACAAGCAACTTCGTAATCTAAATTTAATCTCTTTTCTGCCTCACCCGAGGCATCCCATCATTCTCCATTCATCCTATCACCTTGTGTTCCCATTGTTTCCTCCACATGGTATGTCCTTTGGTCTTCCTCACCCTCTCAAACGAATACTGTTGTTATTGTTGTTAAGTGACATCAAGTTGATTCTGACCCATAGCGACCAGCTGGTGAGCTTGAACCACCGACCTTGCAGTTCAAATAACTTTGAAGGCTGACGCATTAACCCACAGCGCCACACCAGGACTCTGTTATTATTAGTAGCCGACAAGTCAGTTCCGACTCATGGCAACCCAGGTGTGCAGAGTAGAACTGTTCCATAGGGTTTCCAAGGTTGTGACCTCTCTGGGTGAATTCAAATCACCAACCTTTTGACTAGTTGTTGTTAAGTGCTGTTGAGTCGGTTCCAGCTCATAGCGACCCTATGTAGGGTTTCTGAGGATCAGTTGGTACGTTTGAACCACTGACCTTATGGTTCACAGTCCAGTGCTGATCTTACAGCTCCACACCAGGAATCTTACATTTAACCATTTATGGCACCAAGGAGCTCCTTCAACTTAATACTATCAGACCTCAGTTCACCATTATAATTTCATTCATGAAATCTCCCTTCTGCCACCCCATAAGTTGAGACACACTGCCCATTCTCTTTCTGATAGCACTTTTTATATGCCTGTACTGAAGCCTCACCCTTATTCCCTCCCAGCGACTGGTAGGTTTGAACTGCCAACCTTACGATTAGCAGTCCA